TACCCTAGAAAGTGTGTGACCTCTTTTCGTAACTGACCGATGACATTTGCTTCTTTCACCGAAATTTCGAGCCACAAATCTTTTTAATGAAAAAATATAATCTGAAAATGCAACACTCTTATTAAATTGACAAAATTAATAAAAAAAATCGACCAAAAATAATACGCGATAAAATTTTAAAATTAAAACAGCCAATTTTGATTGTAAAAAGACTCGAAAGAAATCGTACGATTATATTATATTTACACGAGGAATTTCTTCCGATCATATCGTCCGTCATTGCCCGACCTTTGCCTGAATGTCGATATCAAAAGACTTGAATTACAACTCAATACATATATAGATGCGTACGCGCGAGGCAACCTGGTACCGCTTCGTCGCCAGAGAAAGTGCGACGACCCTTAAGGTAAAGGTTAAAGACGATGAGGACGAGAGACGACGTCGAGGAAGTGCGCGCGGATTGGTGAACATTCGCATAGCTGCGGTTGAGGCATCGAAACAGCACTGGTCTATCGACATTTCATAGCACTTTCGCTGCAAGGACAAGTAGCGTACATACGAAGCGAATCTCCGAGCGCATTATTAGAAAACTCCAGAGAAATATAGACCAACATCGGACCGAATAACATACAAGTTCACCGGAATAGTTTGAAAAAAATCCAATTGACGCCTAGAAGTCAACATTTTTTCAACATCTTTTCTCTCTCGTTTTCTTCATTTTTTCTACAATTTTATTTCCGTAGCTAAATCGTTCATTCGAAATTCTAAAGCTCGCTAGAAAGAGATGATAGAAGAGATTACAAAAATGTCCATAAGAAAAGAGAATGACAAATGGACTATCGAATGTATGTATCCATATGCGGATTCTTATGGATGAGGATGACCATAAAGATCTCCGCAAAGAATCACCGCGAAACGGTGAGTCCCGTAGATCCGTCTATGGACGACCATGAGCGACCGTGGAGGTAAACGCGATATCTATAGCCTCTGCGGAACCGACGAGTCGGAAGACCTCCCCACCTGAGTCGGAGTACCGGTTAGTGTGGTACACTGACCTACTCTCTAGTCTCACTGCTGCAACAGTGAGAACACCCCTCCATACTGTTGTTCCGCCGTCCTTCCCTCGCAGGAACGGCGCTACTTTTTCTCTTTCTCGTCTTTCCTCTCTCTTTCCTTGTCTATCCCGCATTCCCTTTCTGCTTCTATTTCTCATACCTCTTTTCTTTCTCTCTCGCTTTGTCTTTTTTTTTCCTTTTTCTCTATCTCTCTCGCTTTGCTTTTGTAAAATTACATCGACCGTTTTACGAAACGATGTCGGCTAAATAATTGACCCACAAAGAACAATATCTCTTTATTGGTTTTACGTATAATATAAATTCAAGAATTAATTGACCATTTTACATAGATTATTATTTTTTAAGGAAGCCACATCACAAGTGTATCGAAAACTTTTTCTGTATAAATGAAATGCGCGCAATTTTATTATATGGCTTCCTTAAAAAATGATTTAATTATATTATATTAAATTTTTCAAATTTTAAATAATATATTTTTTAAAAAGTATCTACCATGCATTATAATATTTTTAATAATTTTATTAATTAATGCTCTTAAATCTTTAAACTTTATCTCTTTTTGTAATCGCTTCCGCTAAAGAAATTCTTTTCATGCGTATCGTTATATAACATTTAACCAGCAAAATTTACAATTTATAACACAAACATAGTAAAATAAAATATCTCTTTCCTGCTCAAGATATTTCCTATATTGGTATCAATATATGTCTTACGTTAATATAAATATTTTAGTATATGATGAAAAAACTTTAATAAAACGTTTTACAACCAAATCTAATGAGAGTTATTGTTCATCAAAGAAATAGAATAGAAATAGAGACCTCGTTCTGCTGCATTAACTATGCGATGAGAAGTGCAATCTGTGAGAGAATGAGACATATCCTGCTGAACGCCATCGTCTTAACAAATATCTGACTGCTGTGTAATAATCTAGCACAATAATATTATTATTTTCAACTCATTTATTTACAAAGGAATACTAAAGTGTTTAACAAACACAAACTAATGATGTTTATTTACGTGAATATTTTCGGATAAACCTTTAATGTTTGAATAGTCTTAAATCTAGAAAAACAGTTCAACTTATCAGTGAATCCAACAAAGGAGACAAAATTAAGACAATATTGATATTGCCAAATTGAATATATGCAAGAAATTCTGCAGCTAGCTCAGAATCCATCAACATTCCATACGATTTAGAAAAAATGCCAGAGATTCTCCATTCAAATATTAATTGGAGAATCCTTATCGCGCGCAAAGATAATTTTTGCTCGAAATCGAACGAGTAGAAGAGAATTAGTGTATAAAATGCATGCGCTACTAGAAATCGACGACCTGACACTGAGATTGTCCCGAACCAGTCGCAGATTGGCATCGAGGTGCAACGAACCGCCTTGCGAGATGCCTGCAACCTCGAGCAACAAGTCGAATCCCCACTAGCGAATAGCCGAGGAAGTCGTTCTGGAGAAATTTCACCGCAAACTTTAGCAGCCTCTGTCGTCGTCATTGCCATAGTTTAGGTATAGTTTGTCGTCATCGTCGGTGCTCGAATACCTAATAGGTGAATCGGCTCTTGCATAGAGTGTGTTCTTGCATGCAAAAATTCGAACAATTTTCAAACGGAATGCTTGTAGAGATAAGAAATGAGCGCGTCATCAAATTTTTGGTCACCATGCACACAAAATTCACATATATAATATCGCAAGTTACAGCAACATAGAATCTTAAAATATATTTAAAAGCGTATATTAATTTGTGTGAAAATTAATTTCGTGATATTCAAGAGAATGCACTTGGATTATTTCTAACGAAGAAATTTTATATTCTCAAGAGACTTTTCATATTCTCAAAATTGCACAAAAAAGTGCCATTGAAATTCTTTTTGATAAAATATTAATAAATTGCTTTTTTTCTCTCAGAAAATATGATACGTGATAAAAATAGCGTATATATATATAGTTTTTCAATTTTTTAATTTTTATTATTTTTTAAACTAAAAAGTACTGCAATAATCTCTCCCTCTTTATGACCCAATTTTGATCAAGTAATTTTGTCTGTAATATCAATTCTAAGTTCCGTTATTATATACATGTCGGCCTTTAAAGTCAAACATACATTATACAATTCTCAAAACAGAAAGAAAATATAAAGATACAACATATGACTAACAATTTTTTTTAGTTTAGAACTATTATTTGATTTATTTACTTTTTATCTAATTTTTAAAGTAATAATTAGATTTTTTATGAAGAAAATATAATTTTTTTGAGATTTGAAACATCAAGTTTTATCGTTTCAAAAAATTTTAAATATGTAAAAAATATATAAAAATCATATAAGTTATTAAAGCATAAAAAATATGTTGAAACAAAAAATAAAATTTCGTTTATGAATAAAAAAAGTTTTATATTTGAACTGCCATCGATTTAGTTTGATTAAAAAATTGCTATAAACGAATAGGAAATTTATCCCTCCGTCTTTAACACGAGTTTTGATCGGCAAATTTCTCGAATCTTTGAGACTTTTTACTGGGTCAAAGATCGGTAATAGCGCTCTCTAAAATTTCTTCCCTTCTTAGAATTTCCAAATACGTTCGAATTTAAACTTGACCTAGTCACAAGTGTGATTTACGATAACGGAAAGCGTGATATGGAGTCTGATCAATTCGATGCTGTCGCAAAATTATCGACTTGTGCGCTCAAATAGACGGTTACTTATCGTGAGTAGCGAACGAAGTTCTATCGTTAGAAAGCGTGGTAATTCAAGTGACGTATGTGGCACAAGAAGTACTAGACGACAACCGATTCGTAAAATTATGGAACACCATCGTCGCCAAAGCTTATTGGTATTCTCAATTCAAAATCTGTATTCTTACCATATTCTCTATGCAAATTCAGACGCAATGTCAATAACACAAATTGCATCATTGGTTTACTTTCTGTGATGTCAGTTGCATTTCCCATTAGAGATATCGCACTATTATCGTAATATTATTCAATAATATTATATAATCAATTTTTTATTTTAATTATTGATATTCTTTCTCCTTTCTCACAAAAATATCTTAATTTTATTACTAAATTATTATACTAATAACTTATTTATACATAGTTGCTCCGATCGGTGGTAAAATGAAAAGGTTGATAATTTTTCATGAAAAAAATAAGTCAAAGTAAATAAAATAGGAATAGAAATAAATAAAATATAATAAAATCTTTTTCATGCAAAACTTTCTTTCTTAAAAAGAGACTTCATAAAAAAATTATGAAATTTATAACATACTTATATTTTTTTAATTTGAAAAACGTGCAAATGATTTTTGTATAATACATCATAAAATTTAGTGGCTGTTAACATATAAGTACAATATGTAACATAGCGATTTGAAATAATGTAAGTTATAAAAAAATTATGTATATTTGTATCACTTTTTTCTCTTCAATAAAATTTTGTATCTTTTATGGCTGTTTCGATATCGAAATCAATGATCGTCATCGTCGATTATGAAAAATATTTAAGTTTAAAAAAGAATGAATTCTTATATTTCTCAAATTTTTAAGTAATTTCTCAAGAGCAACGCCTCATAAAAAAATGAACTATTTTATATCGTCGACTTATGAATTTTTTCTAAAAAATTACTCCTATTTTTGGTTGTACCATCAGTTCGGAGAAACCTTGTCTGCGGGCACGTTCGTGCCGCGGCACTCTGACCTTTGCTTTCCACACACCTGTTGACTGCTTCAAGATACATTACATCTTGCACCCTTGCATTATCTATACAATTTTATCAATAGAATGCATATTTTTATCAGCCGACAATTGCTTATACCGCATGTCAACACATATGTGGATGCTATTACAAATATGATATTTCAAGATAGAGATTTGAAAGAACTTGGCAAAGTGGTAGTATATTTGACTTACCTATATTCTGGAATCTAGCGGTCTAGGCAGCGAAGTCAGCTATCTTCTCTACTTCAGGAGACTACTTGTAAATCTATCCAAAGCGCACAAAATGCACACAGTGTGTCACTCGATCAGCATCCAGAACACACGCACTAATTCGGGTCTCACGGATCACGCGCGAGAAGACAACATAGTTTACCACTATCACTGGCAAGAAAAATCCGAAACAAGGTCATGCAAATGTTCCCCGTACCGTTGCGATATAATATCCTCTGTTAGAGATGCGCGCGAATGTATACCCTAAACACCCTACTGATGCCACAATAAGAACGGAAGACACATCACCAAGTCACCATGGTGCGGATCGGTACTTCTGTTGTTCAAGGTGATCGGTAGCAGACCGGGTCTGTTAACAGTACGACGCGTGAGCCCTAACTGTGTTGGGTCTTACTCTGGGCCAGCGTCATGCGGCAGGACTCCCCCACTTCGAGTACCCGTGTTCTCTCAAAGGCAAGAGAACTTCTCCCGCTCCTTTCGTACTATACGTCATCGGCGCCCATTCGCTGTGAACTCTTCCGCTATTATACATTTATATACATATTCCACCACTCTAGCATGCCACCCTTTAATCGTGGCTCTATGTGTCTCCCACATAAGTGCTGGACGCTAAAGGGCGTGGATAGAACGCCCTTTGGAACAGATGTCGAATTCTTATTGGTTTCCCTCTCTTCATGCTATCAATCAATTGGAACGGACATCTTTGTTTAACAGAGACGATTGTTGTGACTTCTTAAAACAGAAAAATTTGGAACATTCCATAGAAGTATACGCGCTCATAGAGATTTCGTAAAGAGCACCATAAAAGGAAAGAACGACAAAGAGTTCCATTTGCAAAAGGGTCTAAATATTTTTCGAGATTTGTATAATTTCAATTGATCTGAAATTATATGTCATTTTATTATACATTTTATGTACTATATTTATGATTATTTAAAATTTACATTAATATTTAATTTAAAAATTATATTTATAATTTCCGTTTAAATATATTAGATTTTTTATTCAAAAAAATTTTTTATAAACGCGATACATATACATATATAATTAATAGTAGAAATTTTAAGTTTGAACATTTCTCGTTATTTTGATTGTTCGGCTGGCAGAATTTTGTGCACGGGAATGAAATTATTAGGTCGAAAAAATAAGGACGGTTCGCGATGACGATTCGAGCGAATCGATTCGCTTTCGACGCAAATCTACTCGTTTTGAACATTTCATAGTATTAATGACAGCAGACGGAAAAAAATACCAAGATATTTAAATAAAAAATTTAAACAATAAAAAAGTGGAAAATGCAATTTGCGCATTTTTTTACAACGCAACATATATAAATATTCCGCTATAAGTTTATATTGACCAACAAAGGAATTCATTCTTCTTGCGGTGCGTTCGCGTTTTGAGTTTAATTGGCAGAAACGAGATTTCGAAATGTTACACAGTTACCTTCACTAATAACTTGCACGATGAGAGAGAGGGCGGTTAACGAAGAAAAAAATATGAAGAGTACATATACATAACGAATACAGAGCATGTCGATAAATAAAAAAATGTTTTTTGATATATAAGTGTTGCTTTTTTTCTTATATATATATATATATTAAATATTATTGTTAATTTATTCTGATATATAAAAAATTAATGAAAACATAACACAGAGCCTAAAAAATATAGTAAATACACTACATCTAAGATTTAAAATATATGCATATTATTATTTTTAATATAATATATATTTTTTACGTTCTTTCTGTTTATTTTCTATATTTTCATGCCTTTTTCTATGTTTTTATAAATATCTATATGTACGTATGTTAGAATTACCTTAAATTATCTAATTTCTATAGCTATTGTTATTTGTGACTAATAATTAAATAATTCAGAATTATTACGTACATTATTGATTCAATACAAATTGTTATTTTAGCGTTCAAACTCATATGTTTAATCTTCTATTCATATCAAACGTATATAAATGTCAAACACCTAGTTTAACATAATCAGACAGAACTCTGTCACTAATGCACAAATATAAATACAATGAAAATAGGCGCCGAATATACAAAACTTATCTTCTCAAACAGCATCACGTCTAAAACCGGGAGATATCTTATTAACTTAAAAATATCTTATTGACGTTTTAAAGACATATTTTAATACGATGTCTAAAATATATTTTAGTGACTCCTTAAAACATTTTATATCCCGATTTTAGACGTTTTGTTGTATGGGCTGTCACTAATGCACAAATATAAATACAATGAAAACAGGCGCCGAATATACGAAACTTATCTTATTTAAGGACGGTAGATAGTGAAGCCATTAATCACCGTTTTATTAAGATATTATTAAACCCTAATGTATAACCCTAATGTCTGACACCTGAGTCATTAATGCTTTAATGACAATACAAGATTGATAAGATTGTATTTCTCGGATATGTCCTAATAACACTAAATTATGCTCTGAGACGCGATTTTATTCATATATATCTTTGACTTTATATATTTTGTTATTATATAAATACATGCACATTTAAGGGTTGTAGAATTGCATTTAATATTAATGCCGCCGTCATTAAGGCTGTTTTTATATTAAATTATAATGACAGAAGCAAGAAATCATATAATTTTTTTTGCAAACTAAATTCAATTTTTATATACAACACTATGTGTTTTATAATCAAGATTTAACTTCTTAATTTACAAATTGAAAAAAATCTTTGATATATTTTACTAATCCATATTATTGGATTCGATTAAATAGTTTGCATATTATTGCATAACAGATCTCACTTCAATTAATATATAATATCGTTAACATATTTTATCGAAAGAAGCAATATATGTTCCCTTTTTTTAACAAATTATTTATAATATCTTATCTATCTGATTTTATTACTCTTTTATTTTATTACTTATTATATTTATGTGAGTGTTTTAACTTTGTTAATAAAAAAATTCTAATCATAAATGAATGTCTGCTCCTTCGAATTTTCGCAATCTTCAAATCAATTATATTGTTTTTTATTTCAATTGATATTGTATATTGTACTTAAGACAAGAAAAAAAACATGTAGACATAAATTTATGAATTGGTTAATAAAGTCTCAGCACGGAAGGACAATTACAGAGCAATACATTCAACATTATAAGTAATTTATTGAAAAAAAGATATACTGTTCTTTTTTAAAATGTCGAGGAATCAACTTTATGGTTACCTTACTTTATCATTGCAATGGTCTCTCGATACTGTTTATTTCAGCTGAACGGACCCGAGCTAAAGACTCTGGTAAAGGGATGCTCATACGCTTTCAGCACATGCCCCGTTACGGTGCCTTAATCCAGCCATTGAATAAGTGCGGATTACTCCCACCGATTCGCGTTGCGTATGATGCACACAGCTAATTACGTTCTTTTCGCCGCTCGCCAGATATCTTTATTGTTAGTTGTGCGAGTCGATTTTGTCCACGACGCGCATTTTACGCTATTTCGGAGCACGATTACTTATTTCGCGTACGTATTGCTTACGTTGCATCCCTTCGTTATCATTATCATTTCTTTCGTATTGTCATCAATGGGCCACAATGATATAGACTTCTTTGTGAAACTTTATTTGTTACATAAATTTCGCAAAATGCAAGATTTGTATAACTGTTGTTCCTTATTAATTTTTTTCTACTCCTTTTCATAATTATTATTATGTGCCGTATTAGAATTATCGAAATATTATGCAATATCGTTTTTATTATATCGAAATAAACTCCTTTCAAAGCTGTATTTTTGCAGAACAAGAAATAATTGCATGCGATTTAATGCAAGGAAATAATTACAGGGCTGCGCAAATAAGATCGTATAAAACTAAGTGCTCACGGATATATCCTTTTTTTATATAAATACAATTTTTTCTCAGCGCTCCACATGGCGAAATAACATCTTCCCGCTAAAGTACTTTTTTCGCATTCTAAAATATTTTATCTGACCGAAAACGATTGATTATATGCATAGAAGAATATATTCGTTCTGTGTTTTTGTGCTGTTTAGGAGATTTATAATAGGAACCCTTTACTTCCCTTATAGACAAAAATAAAAAAGGATCTTTTTACCTGACTTGAAAAAATTTTTTACCGTTATTCTAGAATTTGTGCTAGTCATAGCATTTCCTTGCTTCAGTGTCATAAAATACGGGACTTTTGGGGAGAAAAAAAACGGGATAACAGGAACCACTTAGTTTACAAATTCTATTCAAAGAGCTGAATGGGACAAAATATTTTATTTACCGTAAGCTTTTTTCGGAAGTTAAACCCTAATTCTCGAAGAAGCAGTCACCGAAAACTGACACAGTTTTATTAATCGTAATTTTTTTTGTGTTAAAAAATGTCAAATACATATTCAAAAAAATTTTTTACTGTACCTAATACTCGAAAAATTATATACGTAAATGACATATGTATATACACATATAAAACAATTAGAATATTAAGCGCAAAAGTTATAAATTGTTTGGAGTGTCAGTTCTTTCCAGTTCTTTCCTTTTAGAGTTAACAATATAATTTAATATTTATATTTTTATATTTTTTTATATAATAAAATTATATAAATTAATATATATAATTATATTTATATTTATTTAATATATTTAATAATATTTAACGAAGAGCAAAATACTCTTTAGTGACGAAAGTACGTACCGCGTAATAGAAATATTTTACGAAAAATTTGTAAAAGGATTAAAGTAAAAAGAACATATTAGCGAATCCATTAACTTGTTACGATATCGCAACGTGAGTGAGCAGCGGAATAACGAGCGCGTTCGCCACGTCTCGCAATCATATTTGCGTCACGCTAATTGTTGTATAACTTTTGATTTAGGCGTTGATACGCCTCTGCCCTATGAAATGTGTTAGTGCGAGTGGTCTTATTTTTTCCTCTTTTTTTTGCTGCACGGTAGAGCAATAAATTATGTACATACAATGTATAGAATAGTGGTCACGTCAAAAAAAAGGGGAAATATATTCTTTCTAAGGATTCCACAAGAACCGAAGTCCCACTTCTGATAAAGTAGATGGTTACTTTCATTGTTGCACGACAGTAATGTCATTCGACAGTAATATCATTCATTACATTACATTCGAAATTTGTTATTAAAAAATTCATTGTCTTGAATAATTTTGTAGATAAATTTAGGAAAATGCATATTGTTGACTGTGTAATTAAAAATTGTTTTTCTTTTAATTACTGCACAGGATTATCTAACAAATTTTGTATAACTTGAAGCTAATTAATTTGTTGCAATTAAATTGTTACAATTTTAATAGATTGTTTGTATTAGGAATCAATTACTGATTCTTCATGATGAACCCTGATTTGTGAGAAAAAATGTTTTAAGTTCCAGTTTTGACAAATGAATTTTTTTCCTTGTTAAAATTTGAAACACTACACACACATCTTTGTGCGAATAAAAAACGTAAATCAGACAATTTGTTCTGGTTCTAAAAGAAATAATAAAAGAAATAATCCTTCTTCAGAATATTTCATAGTGAGAAAAAAAAGTAATATCATTAATCTTCGCATTTTTACAAAGGAAACATATGTTAAATATAAAATGTAAGAACTAACTACTTAGAATTTTCAAGGTTTAACATTCAACTATTATTGACTGAAAAATTTCAAATTTATGGCGACAGGATATTATTCCACTCTACGAATCTATCATTTTTCAAAATCTTTATCCTTCGAAATGTTCTTTTGAATATAATTGAACCTATCTAACAATAAGTCTAAATAGCCAAACGCTGGTGTGAGTGTTATTGTTAGTCGCCTATTTAGAAAGATGTGGAAGCCTACACTTACACATTGACTGGAAATATTCTCACAGAATATCTTTTACGTATATTATAAATTAACAGTGTAACTAAAAGACACTGATTGCTTTCCGCTGTTTATCGAATGTTTATGAAAAGCTCGTTTAATATTGTATGTGCACACATGAGAAACAGCAGGATGTTTTTTTATTTTGGAGGACTACGTTCATTTGTGTGTCAGAAGGTGTTTTAAGCTTAAAAGAGAAAAATAAATTCTCTTTAAATTCGTAACATATGTTTTTATTTTTCTTTTAAGCATCAAATGCTTAAAACAATCTTCTAATAAACGTTATATTAGTCCTTCAAAAAGCATCCGGCTGTTTATCGTGTGTTGACTTGTTAAACTATTGATAATCACAGTATATTTTATCTATCAGAATTTGTCAGTATTTGTAAAAATAAGCAATATTATATTTATAATTATTTATATTATTATTTATATTAGCGCGGAAAAGTTGAGTAGATTTTGGTTTAAAAAATAGGGTCAGTCATTGGAGAGAACAAATGTAAAATAAGTTTTTTCCTAATTAATTTTTTATACGACTACTTTGATATTACATGCTTTTAATTTGGAAGTTATTGTTTAGAGAGAAGATAGGCTTCTCTCCGACTTCTTAACTTAAGATCTGAAATCTACGTTCTTTATATCAGTTTGTCAGTTTGTGATACAAGAATTTTTCACATTCGAAGTCGATCTAAATATAGCTTTTTTTAATATTTAATTTCTCGTTTAATATTTCTTACATATTTTTTTTGTTTTAAATGAAAAATTACGCGCGACAGAGAAATAAACTAATAAAACTCATTATTAATTATAATCACGTGATATACAGATATCACATATGTAATTTGTGCTTCTCACAAGTTTGAAATTTTGTTTCAAAATTTTTTAAAAATTCTTACATCGTGTATTATAGAAGAGAGAAAAAATTAGGAATTCCACGAAGAAACACGTATTATCTATATGACTTATTATGTAGATATAGAATTTAAGATTTTTTTCTTACCATAAGAGAAATAGCTGTGTTAACACTTCTTCTATTATTGGCGTAATAAGATAATCCAGATTTTTTCCACGGTATACACCGAAAATTTGTAGGAAAAATGGGACCGCCCATGAATATATCCGCACGACAGTTCTGCTTTTCGGTAAATGCTAAAGTATCTAAACGGTGACAAATATTGTGAAGGACTGATTCCCCGAGCGGTTAATCTGGTAAACAATTACACAGCACGAAAGGTTCGGTATACATAAATCAGGTACCTTTCGAGATTCTTTATTAACAAACAGTATTGAGACTTTATTGAAAGATTTTTGTCTCATTTTGATCTTAATTATAGAATGCCGAAAATATGTATCTTTTTAAATATTTTGACTTTAAAAGAAGAAATGGAATTAAGATATTTACATAATATATATATAAGGTCTTTAAGTGCTTAAGATCTTTAAGTTGAAAGATACATTTGAAAACTGTTATTGTAACCTATTTCTGGGTTCAAACAAATATAGGATTAAGACGGCTTATATTAATTATTTTGTATATTAGGAAAAATATATGTATTTTTACAATATAGTTTTATCTGGACAAGAAATTACTTTTATTTTTGTTATTATAAATTTTAAATCTTAAAAAAAAATTAATTAGATTTTATAAAATAAAACAAGCAAAATAAAACAATGAAAATTTTGAGAATGCTGTTGATTAATAATAAAATTTAATGTATTGTTTAAATATATAAAATAATTCAAGTCAAAAATTTGTTTATCAATTGAGCCAAAATTTTCAATAGAATTTTAAATAGCGGGAAAGTAGGTTCTCCTAAAAGATCTCTTGCAGAATCAGAAAGTAAAAATATCTAATTAATGGGAGAGCGCGATTATCATTATACCCCCAACTGTATCAAATTCATTCAGTGCGATGTCCCAAATTCTAGATGAACGGCAAAACTACTTCAGGAAAAAAAGCTACGCATTAGAAAGGCACTGTATCATATCGCCGTCCTCTCTAGCACTAAAGTTAATAATTACGAACAATATATCTTCACATATTTGTGTAAACACCTTCATTATCTTATCTATATATATTATAGTCATTATCATGTATATTTAATAGATATTCTTTATCCTTTCTTACATACACATATTAATATTTGATATCTGAAGTTATGCAGAAAATATCGCTACAAAATATCCCATTTATTATCTTAAATAAATAAAGCAATAGAATAATGTGCTTTATAATAATTATATATTTTTTCTTAATTTGTGATTATGCTTATATTATGCGATATTTTTTATTAAAATCATGTTAAATGTTTTTTAATAAATATTATATATATTTAATAAATTATTAACAAAATAACCTCTGTCTTGAGACTTTTGAAAAAAATATTTATTGCAAGTTATTAACCCAGTCAGAAATGATCGGTTCGACATCGATTCGACGTTGATTTAACTATTATTTTTGGCTGGGAAAAAGCTCTTTACAATAATAAATCGATCAAGTTTTAAGTTGATAACGTAATGTTTAATGATCACTTTAAAAAATCATATTTTTGTTATAAATTCAATGAAATACTTTTTGTTAATTTTTTCTATGTTAAAATTCAAACTTTACGTTTTGTAAAATATTCATATTATTGCTATATTTTGCAAACTACTAATTATATATTTTTTAATTATTTTTCCTGTGTTCCTCGTTAAAAATATCTTCGCAACTAATCAAAATGGCAAAAAAAGTTTTTAGAGTCTTGCCAAAAACGTATACTCACCCAACTTACGTATATTTAAAAATGATAAACTCACGTATACCCAAAAAGGTACCTGAACCGTTACCTGCATTCTGCAATGCATTTTGAATGGTTGACAGATATTTATTACTTTACAATAACTACTCCATTCAGTTTTATTTATTTTGTATAGTATGGCTTAACTTTGGAGTTCCGTTTATTTTATTTTATGTGTGTACTGCTTCTATAGTTTGTATACAAAATTTCAAAGCTTTGTTAATGATCTGGCTGTTAAAGCTATAAAAAGGAATCTTGCAATAAAGTACGATTCGCAGCAGACGATATATTTTCATCTTACAATTTCTTGCAGTATAATGAACATGTGATTGCACATTAAAATCTGATAGACAACAATATCCATCAATTGTTAATTGGAAAAAATAGCCGAATAAATAAATAGAAAAATATCCTTGCGCGGCCTTGTCAAGGACTTGGCAGTTCCATTCTCCGACAAAGAAACCTGCACGTATTCAAACACACAGAAACACACACACACACACGTACCTACATTAGTACGTGTGCGCTTATATGCGATCAGTATCAAGCTATCAAGTCGTCCAGTGGAGCAACGAGTGAAACTTTTTAACTTCTTTAAGATATTCGAACTCGACCACATACGAAATGAACTAAAAAGATTTGAAGAAAATAAAGTATATAAAAATAGATGTGTGGGTAAAAAATAAAAATGTTTGTCATACATTTTTTACTTATGATTCTTTCTTTTTTATATTTATGACAGATTTATGGCATAGATTCTTCCTCGTTTTTCAAATGATCCTCGCGTATTTAAAAAGATTGAAAAAATAAGATGCAATAAAAGGGTTGAGTTGCACACATATACACGAAATGTAATCGTGATACTTAGAAAAATGTAATTCATACGAGAAAATTGATTGAAATTGCCATTACAGACTTTTGTAAGCCACACCTGAGCAGCTCTAGCTGGCCAGTCGTTATATAAATATGCGCGCATTGCTGCCTTTTTTAACAATACGTTTCGTAATTGTTTATCACTCCGAGACGGGGCCGGTGAACGGTCTGCCGCATAATAAGTCGCACAAGAGCAATTTAAGAAGCATGTATATATGTATAGTTGAAAGTAAGCACGTTACGTATCCTCTAGTATATTTCCGAAATAATTATTATTAATATATTTAATTTTTGAAGAGAAAAATTCACGTTTGTAGCAATATTTCTTAGGAATATAGATTAAAATGAGATACAAATAACAAATTTCGAAAGATTTCTTATTACCGTGAAGAAATAATGTTATACAATTTTTAAATAGATGTTGACCAACTTTTATAACTTTTTTATATTGAACTTTAAATATTTTTGTAACTAATTATTGTATAGAATTTTTCTAAATGCAGTTTTCCGCTTGACATTAAATAAAGAATAAAATTTCGTTTGCATCCTTATATAAAAAAGATCTTATACATTTCTGATATAATTTTTCTTAATCTCTTCTTAAATTGGATAATTTTTTAAGTAATTCACATATTCTAAAGAATGAAAAATGATAAATTTGTCATACATTTTTTACTTATATTTCTTTCTTTTTTATATTTATAACAGATTTGTGGCATAGATTTTTCCTCGTTTTTCAAATAATCCTCGCGTATTTAAAAAGATTGAAAAAATAAGATGCAATAAAAGGGTTGAGTTGCACACAAAAAATTGAAAATATATTCCAAACAAAATGATTTTAAATTCTTAAGACTCGGATTATCGGCGCTTCTATAAATACTTTTGTTCCAAAAATGAATTTAGAAGCAATATTTTTGTTCTAGATGGTCATCGCGATGACACGATGACAAACAGTATACGTGGACCTCAAAAGGGGGCAAGTGAGACGGACATCTGGCTGCGTTACGTTGAGGAAGTCACGCGGCCCTCGAGACCCCGAAAAAATGAGGACATTCCGAGGAGCGTGGGGTCCCACTCGTGTATCCGAACAAGGTTCCGGATTCGGATACGAGCAGAGAAGCCCCACGGATCACGAGCGACGGACGTAGGTATATATATATATATATATATGTATATATGAGCTTCATATCAAGTAGTGGGCCCAAAGCCCTATTTTCGAAAGCGTAACTAGGTAAATGCTCATTGTCAATTATGTAGCGCTCGATGAAAAAGATGTGACCCGGTTTTGGAAGCCAGTCAGCCGCGAACGAAGAAGCGGATGACTGGCTTAATTCTGCTATGCGTGACCATACTTGAGACACCGATGCGCGGTGCTGGATCTCGTAGAAATGGATGAACCATACAGCGCTCGTTGCTTTATACTCGTCCAAATCTTTTTACCGAGAACCGTATCGGACGGGAAAAATTACGCCCCAGTTACGTTGCTGGAAAGAAATACAGCGATGGCTCGCCGTTTAATTATTCTGACGCGCGCATTACCGACTTGCGAATTTTTAATTCCCTATATCCGGATAAGACGAGACTCCGCTCTTTTTCGTACATTCGAGTTTCTTATTTATTTCCTCGGAAGTCTACTTGTGCCAGAGAAGTGCAGCATCAAATTATCGTAATTATCACGACCGTGAGAATCCCAGATATTCAAAAATGTATTTCAAATCAGATATCAAATATTTTTCACAAATCTTTTAATTTCTCTATTTTCTTGTGATTAATCGTCTAACATCCCAGACAACATCATGTCTAAAAGTGGAGCATAAGACATCTCTAAGTAGTCTTTAAAACGTCTTTAAGAAATCTTATGATATGATGTCCAAAAGACGTCTTAAAGATATCTTAAAGATGTCTTATGCGCCAATTTTAGACATGGTGTTGTCTGGGATGTTAAATATCAGATATTCCAGAAATATCAAAAAAAGCGAAACGATCTATATATATATATATATATATATATTATATTATATCTCATTCGCCTTCCATTCTAAAAATGGCTTATCAAAAATTATTTGTTCAAATTGACATAAGGGAAAACAAAGAGCTATCTCTTTCACATATACTAACATATTATGTATACCATAATGCTGCGATATTAACATATAACTATCACACAAGAATAAAATAGTATAGTGCGAAAGATGAAAAGTGAAAAGTATCACGGTCTCCCCCACGTCCTAATTCGCACCAGGCAACCGTCGCTTTTATCTCAACACTAACTAAAGACCGCTAGGTCCGTTCGCAAGAGTCGTGGCCAATTGCCAGTGATTCTTCTTAGTTGTGGCCGGGCCAATTGGAGCAAGAAGAGACCGAGCGATCCGGCGGCGTCGGCGCGGAAACGCGAGAATAGAATGCGAAGGAAGAGGTTCTTCCCATAGTTTGCTCGTTCCATCCGAAACCAAGAGTGGGTCGCGTTCGTTTTACGGC